TCACTATGCAGAGCCAGAACAGAGCACTCATTAACCAGACCACACCTCCACTTTGACCTCTTGCCTCCTTGCCCAGTTCTTTGTCTACTGAATCCAGAGCTCATGGCAGTGCTCCAAAGATGGGCTCAAATGCTTGCCTTCTACCCACTTAATGATGTTGTTTAAAACCCCTTCCTGCATTTTCACCATGATCTCTGCTCATTTTCTCTGGGGCAAGCTTGACATGTGGGAAGCTGTCTGGGTGAAATGCCATGGCCAGAGCGACTTAGAGAGGAAGGGTTTATTTGGGCTTACTGTGCTCGAGGGATGAGAGTCCAGCATGATAGGGAGGCTTAGCAGCAGCATGCACAGGCATAACAGCACGCAGCAGGCGTGGCAGCCAGAGCAAGAAGCTGAGCTCTCACATCTTCAATGGCAAACACAAAGCAGAATGTTAACCGAAGTAGAGTGGAGCGTTCAAATTACTGAGCCTCTGAGGTCATTTCCTAACCCAACCATCACAGAACCTGTGGAGTCAGGCCTCTGACCTAGGACTCCAGTTATATTATGACCTCACTATTGTTCCTGCCATGGTAAAATTTTGCCTGGGTGCTCTATTGGCACCAGTGGTGCATCTAGGCAATCTGTTCCACCATTCCACAGAGTTTAATTAAAGCAGAGATCCTAAGGAGCTGGGGGGTCTTGTCCTGAGAAAGGAAAGCCCAGGTAGTAGCTGGCATGGCAGTGCTGAAGGTCAGCTCATAAGGGCAAGGGTGAAATGTCTGGTGAGATTAGAGAACACTCAGTAGCCAGGTCTTAGATTCAGAGAGCTTTGTGTTCAAACCTTCTCTGACCATTCTCCCATACCCAGATCCCTCCCATGGGTGTCTTTCTTTTCCATACCCCCTAGTTCCATCTTCTGCCCCTCAGATGTGCACGCATGCCCCTCCTTTCTCTATGAAGAAGCAAAGGGGCCTGAGCATTAGAGTCCAGTGTGGGAACAGTAAGCACTTAGATTCCACGACTGTTCTCGGGTTCAGAACGGCCAGTGCCTGTGCTCAAGGCCCAGCCAGGCAGAGGGGAAGCACACAGGGTCCTGCAAATGTGCTTCCATTGGGAACCCAACTTTCCCCAGTCAGTTCTCACCTTCTACTCTGTTGAGGTGGGGTTTCTCCTATTGCTTCCATACAGTATACTACAGACGAATTGGGCTGTGAACATTCCATTGAGTCGCCTGTCTACCACCCATCTCAACATAGGAGTGCTGCAATTATAGATGCATGCCTCTACAAACAGATTTTTTTATTATAATTTAATTGAATTTTCCCTTTTCTTCCTCCAAATTCTCCTATATACACCTCCTGCTCACCTTCAAATTCATGGCCTCTTTTTTTCATGAATTGTTACAGTGTTTGTACATAAACATATATTCCTAAATATAACCAGTTGAGTCTATATACTGCCACTTATATGTATGTTTTCAGGGCTAACCATTTAGCATTGGACAATCAATTGATGTGTTCCTCCCTGTAGAGAACCATCTTTCCCTCTCCGGATTTTTATTTGGGTTTCAGGGATCAAACTCAGGTTATCTGCTGAAACATCTCCCCAGCTTCCTGTGTAATTATCTGATGAAGAGTGAGTAAATGAGTGAGTGGGTGAGTGAATAGCGGGATGGGGTCAGAGAAGCACACTGTGATAAGAAGGAGTGACTCCATCATCCATCCTAAGTGTTAGCCTGCTAACTTTTGGTGAGAAAGCCCCACAGGAGACAAATTCTTCTCCAACACCATTAGCAGACCCTTATTCCCTCCCATCCTCCCTGCCCCTTTTTGTTTTCCACCACAGCTCTGCTAAGGACCCACAGCCTCCAGTCTCCAGTTCCAAGCAAAGAGACGGCGCGCGGGGGGGGAGGGGGGGGGGGGGGGGGGGGGGGAATGGAGGTGTGGGCAGCTGCTCTCATTCCTTACATGGTGTCTTCTCTGACATAGCCTGGGTAATGAGGACAAGAAACTCCTAGCTTACTTGATTTCCACTGCTAACTAGAAGCACTTGCCAAGGGATCTGGGACCTCCCCATGCCTCCCCTCTGCTCTGAAATCCCAGTGCATTCAGCTTCTATGCTTTCACCAGAACACCTTCTCTGTCATGAACTCTAAGCTTAAAATGAGAAAGAAGAGAGACTGAAAGCCAGGTACTTGGTTTTGTCCCTTTTGGCTCATGTCACTGTGGCTAAGGCATGAAGGTAGCCTCTTGCACTAGAATATGAGTGTAAACACTGGAGTCTATGTGTGCATACAGAGAGAGAGAGGAGAGAGAGAGAGAGAGAGAGAGAGAGAGAGAGAGAGAGAGGAGAGAGAGAAAATTTGTTTCTTCTGAGCAGGTCTTGGTCCCTGGTGAGTACCAGGGCTCCCACAAGAAGTATTGTGACCATGCACACATTCACACAGCAACAGAATTCCTCCAGAACCATTTGAATGAGAAGCTGGGGCTCCATCCTGCTCTGAGTCCATCACCCCATTCTGCCTCCCCTTGTATCCATGTTTCCTCTATAGCCTCACTCTGCCCAAGGCTAGCCCAGGAAGACCTTGGGCCCAACTCTCCCTCCTTCTGAGTCAGCCTGATTCCCGGTCAGTGAGTCATTTCCCATCAACCCCCAGACTCAACACCTATCATTGTGTCTACCAAGCACAAGGGCCACCTTTGGAGCTAGACCAGACCTGCATACCTAGGGATGAGCTAAAATGACAATTGACTCATCTGAGGTCCCCCCAGGTGGCAAATGTGAGAGGACAGAGTAGTCTTCTCACCCTTTGCCTAGTGCTTCTGATTCACTAGGATCCTGCTCTCAGGCCAGTCCTCCTTGGTGTTGAGATTATCCCATGTTTCTGAGTATCACCAGCATCAGGGAGCTCAGTCTGTCCTCAGAAAGCTCCCAGCATGGGGTGAGATAGGAGACTGGCAAACAGCAGGGGCAGAGATTCTAAAAACAAGACAGAATTCTGCTACGCAGAGGTGGGATATGGGGACAGACAGTAGACTTCAGTGTTCAGATATTAATAAATGTAGGGTTTGAGTGTTAAGCACGAAGAGATGCTGAGTGCTTGAGCCTGTCATTTCTGTGGTCCAGCGAGGTCTGGTCCAAAGGAGTTCTTATTTATGAGTGGGAGGGAGGGAGAGAAGGAGGAAGGGAGGGAGAGAAGATTTAAGCTAAGAATTGTCATGAGTACCAGTTAACCCACCAGAGAGCTGAGGAAAAGCATGGCACTGTAAGGAGTCAGCCTCAGCTAAGGCCTAAGAGCCAGGTACATTCAAGGCTCTTGAGGACAGGAGCCACACTGAGCAACAGCCCAGAAGAAAAGCAGTTAGTTACTATAAACCCTGCTTGTATGTTTTTATGTTTTGCCCTTGCTGGCCCAGCCGTTGCACCTCTCCAGCACTTTCTAAGGGAGGCGCTGTGCCTACAGAACTCATCTTACTTTTGACTACAAAAAGAGATTAAAGCTGGGATCAAAAGAACAGGATTTATCCCTCGTTCATGAGCTGGTTTTTGGAGCTCATTCCCTATGGTAGGATGCCTTGCTCAGCCTTGATGCAGTGGGAAGGGACTTGGTCCTGCCTCAGCTGGCTATGCCAAGCTTTGTTTACTCTCCATGGGTTCAGACTTGCAAGCTACTGCCCCTAGAGGGCGCTCCAAGACTTTGAGAAGACTGAGTACTTCATAGCCTTCAAATTCCAGGAAGCAGTTGTACTCATGGCAACCTAAAAGTCAAGAACCCCTATGCCCCAGAAGAAGGTTTGTCAGTCAATAGGAAAGAGAACATAGACAACCTTTCCAAGCTGACTATGCTCAGAGTGACCTCTACCATTTGGGGGGGGGGGAGGGCACCACTGCCAGCAAAGCCAACAGGAGGTGTAGCACAAGGAATTGTCCGAGTGGGCACAGAGGCTGTAACCCTAGCCCAGGCCTGCGCATCAAGCCCTTTAACACAATAGGACCTGAGAGCTAGAAGCCCTCAGATCCTGTGCCCTACAGACAACAAAGTAGTCTGGCTGGGCCATTCCAGAGTCCCTGGGCAAACAGAAGACTTAGGTAGACAAAGAGTAAGTTCCTAGGCCAAGAGTTAGAGAAACCCTGGCTGGGTTGGGTGTCCCATTTCCTCTGAAACAGATGGAGGGTCTCTCGGTATCTTTACTGTATAGTTTGTGTGCAAGAGGGAGAACTAGGTGTGATTTGTACTAAGCTAGCGTTTGTCTGCATGGTTGTGTGTACTTTTGGAATGAAGACACTGTAGGTAAGCAACTTGCTCATGTCAGTTGCAAATGTGAACAAACTGAGGTGCTGGAGTCCCCTTTATCTTCTTTTAGAGGAGCTTGAAGACATCACCAGTCTTACTGGAGAGATTTCCCATCTCTCAGCCCCTCGCTGGCTTTTCCCCTCCTAGAGTCATGCCTGGCCCTTGGGTGATGACCTGGCCCAAGGATAAAGACAAAGGAGAGACTGGACCTCCATGTCTCAAGTCTTCCACAAGGTCTGTCTTTAAGACAGTGCATAAAGACCTTGTGGCCAGAGACCCCACCACAAGGGTGGGGCCTGAGATCAAAGGAAGAAGAAGGGAATCAATTTTTGGGGTCACAATCTTCTAGATCCCAAGACTTTTCTGTCTAGCTTGTGTCCCAAGGTATCCCTGGCCCTATATTGCAAGGTCCCCTGTGACTCCTCAGAGGAACAAAGGGACAGTCTGTGGAGCTGAGGGGACTTTTGAGGCTACTTAAGGAGCCTGATTCAGAGGATGGCAGAGAGAGGAGAGTGAGGGGGCGAAGAAGAGGGGGAGAAGGAATTTGGCAGGAATTTAGCAACTGGGGGCAGGAAGCAAGACAGAGACTGACTCACAAGTTTTGCCTTTTTAGGCTCTAACCATCTTGTTGTGGGCTGAGATGGGGTGCGGGTGATGGGATAGAGGCCAGCGCTCCCCTGTGACAGCTCCTGGCAGCAGATACCCTTTCTCCCAGAATCTTCTCTTTGTCCAGCTTCACAGCAGCTGTGTTCCCCCGTTACCTTTTCCCTCAGAAGCATTCTGGGGCCGGGTGGGGTACCATATGGAGCTCAAGGACCGCATATTACAGAGCCATCTTTTCAGAGCCTGTGCCTGGTATGTACTGCCTAACATTTTTGCCTCTGTGTGAGGACAGCAAGAAGCCTACTAAAAGTCCACAGCAACATCCCCCTGAAAGATGTGTGGAACTCTTCTTGATTGGAGGGAACTTAAGAATAGCTTTTCTTCCAGACTTGTGTCCCCAGGGATCCCTGACACTGTGTCATTAAGTTCCTTGAATTTGCTCAAGTTAACAAAAGCACAGTTTGAGTGCCTGAGCAGGTGCCTATCATCTAGAGCTTTGGGGGAACTGAGGCCCAAGACTTGTGTTGAACTAAGAAATGTAGATGTGTACAACCTGTAGATTGGACACAAAGGGAAGTCTGAATGGACCACCTGAGCTTCAGGAAGCAGGAGGTTGAGGTATTGGATGAGAGAATAAGCAATTGAGGCACACAGGTCCAGGATGTGCCTAGGGAACGGTGCTATGGAGCCACGGTGGTTTGTGGTGGCCTGTGTGGTGATATCTTGTTTATACTCAAATAAATAAAGCTTGCCGGAAGATCAGAGGGCAGAGCTAGCCACTAGTTAACCATAGAGGTCTGGAGGTCTGACAGACAGACAGGAAGTGATGTGGCTGGGCAGAGAGAGGACTATAAGGCAGGGGAAACAGGAACTCGGTCTCTTTTTGCTCAGGGGTTATCAAGTAAGAGTTGGCTGTGGCTTGTTCTTTTCTCTCTCTGATTTTCAGCATTTGCCCTGCTATCTGACTGTGGGTTTTTATTATTAAGACCAATTAGAACTCATGTTACAGGCCTGAGGATGAAGCACATGTCCACGAAAGGCTGTGTGCTGTTTTTCTGAATTTACCTGAGGACAGTTATCAGAATTGCCCCCACCTGGAGATAAAATACTTGACATTGCAGATTTAAGGTTACCAAGTTGGAGAGGAAGAGAGAGAAGTGTCGAGGGACAGGAAGTGTCAGTAAATGTGGGTCTGGGAAGAATGACTTCCCAGGCTGCACTGTCAGAATGCTGCTCTTGCAGGACCAGATGACTTCAGCTGCCCATAGTTGAGAACTGGGCTCCTCCTCAGAGGCCAGCCTCGCTCCTTTCTCATGTATCTCTGAACAGATGTATTGCTTCCTGCCTGTTCCCTGAGCCACAGAAGTTTGGTCAGGCCCATTAATTCTGTGTGATTCGAGCCACCGATAAGTGTGTAACCCCCTCCCTAGGGTTCCCATAAGATCTCAGCCTAACCACCTTGTCTGAGAACCCCTCAGCAGCACACACAGAGAGAGGGAACCCATTTCATTAGAACTAGTATCTACCCTGTCTGTGTCCACAACTAATGGTCTGACATCTTGTGGAAAGAAACCTCAAATAGTTTATTGATGGGAGAGATTTAGTGCAATCCCAGCTCCTAACCACCATGACTTCAGGGAAACGTTAGCAGTAAATGTCCATCTGCAAAAAGCACTCTGGGGGTTGTGCTCACATCTCCCAGGAACAATCTTACAGAAGTCAGAAACACAGTCACATGACTTCTCCTCCAAGGCTCTGCTGCCAAGTCCCATGCTATGGGCACGAGGGACCTCCCTCTGAATCCATCCCCATCCTCTTTATTGGTAAAACTGAGGATCCACCCACAGTCTTCTCTTTTTATACTAAAAACAAGGCAACAATGAAGTATGTTGTTTCCTTGATAGGTTCAACATCCATGAACAGAAGAACACCATCGCCTCCTCTTCCTCCATCTTTTTCTTCCTCATCTTCCCTGTCATCTTCCTTTTCTTCAATCAGTGAACCTGGGCACACTTCAGATAATTCCTCCCCTCCTCAGGTAAGTGCTCTCGAGGGCCTTGCACGAAGGAGCACACTCCTTACTACTGCCATACTTAATTCTGAATTCTAAGTGCTCACAGGTCTCCCCAAGTGCAAAGCCAGGGCAGAGACAGGCTCTGCTGTGGGTCTCCGGACACTCTTTACATGTGCCTTTCATAAAAATTCATCCTGGGTCACCCTCATGAGTACAGTCACCCCCTTCAGCATTGTGTAGGAGACGGGCATAGTACATATGCCCCCAAGGAAAGAACACAAGGAAGAACACAAGGAAGAACAGACAAAGGGTGATAGGTCCAGAATAAGGATGGTCTCAGTAGCATCCCAGGACTCTGAGAGCAATATCAATTTAGAATAAAAAGTGGCATCACTGAAATGAGTGGCTGGACTTTCCTTCCATATACATCATGCAGTCTCTGTAACCTGCTAGGTCTGCACTAGACTCAGCAGAGCCCTCAAGACAGAAAAGGTGTGCACACTTTTGAAGCCCTCTGACTTGTGGCCTGCACCTCAGACACCAGACTCTTGGCAGGACATGATGACTCTTTGTAGAGTCCACTTCTGTTCTTCCAAGTTCTCATATACTAGAAACATGATTTCACAGTGGTGCATTGTGTGACATTTAGAAGGGTCCTTGGAAAGTCCCAAAGGCCATCCTTCACACTACCAGTGCTTCAGCTCAGAAGGTTAACTGTAACTCCTTACCTTGACGGCGCACAAAGCATGGTTATAGAAACTGACTTCTTGCATGTCAGCAAAGTATACCTATGGGAAGAATGTCCCCTTTAGTAAAGGCAGTACTTGAGCAAACCACAAGGAACCTACCCTGTCCTACCTGTGCTTACTGCTCAGGAGCTTATCAAGAGCAGCAGCCATGCCCAAGCTTTCCTTTCTGGCTTTTTCTCTACTTATTCTAGAGACTTTAATGGTCTTTGATTAGAGCGTTATTTAGGGACTGCAGGTAAACGCCAGTAACTTCTAAACAGCCACTTAGAACAAAGAATGGCCTTTCTGAAAGCCCCTTCTTAGATACCTTGAGTATCTAAGAGCGGGAGAAAGGAAGGAAATGAGGTGTGCGTTGACACTCACCTTCCCCACAAAAACAAACACTAGGAGCTTTAAGTAACTGGTATTTCTGCCCATCCCCTGTAGGTGCCAGCTTACAACCTTCACTCCCTGCCAGTTTCCAGAGGCGGCGATTGCAGCCCTACTCCACTCTACCTGAGACGTGCCAGGGCTCTAGGGATGTTGAAGGAAATTCCTCTCTATCTGCCTCATGGTCCCATGCTGGAGAGCACAGGCCCGGTGAGCCCTGCTGGCGAAAGCTTCAGCAACTGTCCGGAGATGGCTTCAGAGGACTACCAGGAAGCCCCGGCTCATCTTGGGAGCACCAAAAGCATGTACGAAGATTTCCACCCCATTGCAGGGAAGGACCAGTATTTGTACAATCAAAACCCAACTCTTAGGACTGCAAGGAACCCAAGAGAAGTGAATATGGGACCCAGGAGAGACCAGACGGGTGCTCCACAGCCCTCTGAAGAAAGGAAGTTGGGCTTGAAGAAATTAGTCCTTACACCGGAGCAGAAGACCATGTTGCTAGACTGGAGTGACTCCACCCCTGAGCACAAGGCTGGGAAACAGTTCTCCCAGGAAAGAGACGAGAATGGCAGAAGCTGTACCCTGAAACCATTCAGCTCCTCTCCTCTCCCTTGGGCAGTGAAAGAGAAGCTGCTATACCAGACAGGGGCCCAGGAGGAGATGCATACCCCAGCTATCAAGGCGCCACGGGAGAGAGAAGTGCCTCCGCCCAAGTCCCCCCTAAGGCTTATAGCAAATGCCATCCTAAAGTCTCTGCGCCCCAATTCTGAAGGTGGAAAGAAGACCAGCCCTAAACCAGAGTCAAAAACATCGCCTCGGGGCCAGCCACATGGGTTTACTCGCTCCTTTAGTCTTCGGAAACCCAGTTCCAATAAAGATGGGGACCAGCAGTCTCCAGGGAGACACATGGCCTTTAAAAAGGCTTCAGCTTTCTTCTCTTTGGCTTCTCCAACGTCTAAGACTGCCCAGGCCTCAGACTTTAGCCTTCCTGACCCCCTCCTCCGCTCCCGGAGTTTGCCCAGTCGTCCATACAAGATGTTCTTTGCAACCACATCCCCACCACCCAGCAGCAAGATTGAAGATGTCCCCACCCTACTAGAGAAAGTGAGTTTGCAGGATGGCACTCACTTTCCAAAGATACGAGCCTCACGTATTTCCAACCTTGGCCTCAAAGATAAATCCTTTGAGAGCTTTCTCCAGGAATGTAAACAGAGAAAGGACATTGGGGACTTCTTTACTAGCCCAAAGGAGAAGGGGCCACCCAGGAACAGAGTCCCATCTTTGGAGAAGTTGGTACAGCCTTTGGGCAGCACCTCCCTGGGGCAGGTGGCACATCCTTCTACAGGGCAAGATGCACGTAAGTGGCTTGCTTAGTAGTGGAGTCTAGAGTTCATGCTGGGCAGTTAGCGGTCCCCCTGGATTCACAAACAGGCACTGTGCACTTTAATTTACTTATCCAGTTCATTCTGACAAAAGAGGGAAAAGTTGGGACTGGTGAGCTGGTCTTACGGGCTCTTGCTACCAGGCCCAATAACCTGATTTCCATCCCCAGTACCCACATGGTGGAGAGAGAGAACCAGCTCTCCCAAGTTGTCCTGTGGCCTGCACATGTGCCTCTCCCTTCTTCAATATACAAATGAATGTAATTGAAAAAGAAATGCAAGGAAACTTGAAAATTTTTAAAGAGAAATCCTAAAAGAAATTGAAATTACAAGCAATAACCCTAGCTCTTCCCTTTTCTCTGTGGTTATGTGATCATTTTTGCTGAGGTGTACATACAATTTGTATATTTTGAAAGATCAACTTTATAGTCTAGGCATCATACAAATAATCACAGAATCTGTATACAAGTGATTTAAAAGGATGTTCTGTCTTGTGGCAATATTGTCATTTAATGAACCATTATTTGATTGTTTAACTTATAAGTATATGTGTAATGTATCTATACACACACATGCTTATAGGTGAATGCATTTATAATGTATGGATGGTGCTGGTTGGACATTTTTGCACATGTACCTTTTTGTTTCCCTTGTATTACTAACCACTTTTCTGTATGTTTGATTACCAATGAAAATAGAGACTTTTTATATTTAAACCTGTTGTTGTTAATTATTTAATTAATATATCAAAGATTCAGAGTAATCAAACAGTACGGAAATACCTAGCAAAAAGCAAAACATGTTATTGTATCTGTACCTTGCCAAACATTTAGTGTATTCCTTTAAAGATACCTTAAACACATACGTGATGTCTTTTTTTACATGTGGGTATGCCAGTGTGTTGTGTATATGCATGTGTGTGAATGTGTGCATGTATGTGTGCACTTTAGGCTAGAGGGACTTGCTGGTTGTCCTGGTCAATTACTCCTTGGCTTCTTATTGCTTTTAAGACAGTGTCTCACTGAACCTGAAATTATGCTGGTAGCAAGAAAGCCACCATGATCCTCCTGTCCACTCCCCTACCATGAGGGGATTGCAGGAGTGGGTGCAGCAGTGCACAGCTTTTTATGTGGGGATTTTAACTTGGGTCCTCACATTTGCACAACAAGCAGCATCCTTACCCCTGCAAGCTGTCTCCCCAGTAAGCAGCATCCTTACTGTCTCCCCAGACAATGGTTTCTTTTGTTACTGAAGTGGTTCATTTGACCCCTTTCAAAAATTCTGTTTTTCTTTATATTTTTACCTTTTAAATTTTTTATAACTTTTAGAAGATAATCAGTTTTCAAGAACACATTATTTGTGTTCTTTGCACTCTGGTCAAATATCTGTATAGATTAACAAGAGAATTTATTTGTGGCCAAGTTTGGAATAAGCATAGGTAAGTTGAGGTGTAAGGATTCTTTTAAAATCACACACCATGAAATTTCATACATATATATAGTTTTATATTTATTTGCTTTTTATTTTATGTATATGCATTGTTTCTTACATGTATGTCTATAAACCATGTGCATGCCAGGTGCCAATGGGGGCCAGAAGATAGCACTTGATCCCCTGGAACTGGAATTACAAATGGTTGTGAGCCATTGTGTGGGTGCTTGGAGTCAAACTGGATCCTCTGCAAGAGCAACAAATGTTCCTAAGTGGGCCAACTCTCCAGCCCTTTGTAATAGATGTTTAATAGATAGTACATTTATCTGCTTTAAAACTAAAAGGCATATATCTGGGTGTGGTAGTTCATGCCTGTAATTCCGATACTCATAAGTCTAAAGCAAAAAGAGTGTGAGTTTGAGGCCAGCCTGGGCTACAAAGTGAAACTGGATCTAAAACAAAGAAAAACAACAAATAAGAAAATAGCTGGGGACTCAATCCTTTTGCATAAATATGAATTTATCCATCTTATTAGAAAGTTTCTGCATAGCAAAAAGCACTGTTAACAGAGTGAAAAGGCATTCTAAAGAACTGGAGAAAATCTTTGCCAGCTACTCATCTAATTAGAGATTCATATGCAGACTCATTAAGAATTTAAAAAATTAAAAACCCAAATAATCTAACCAATAAGTAGGAAAATAAACCGGATAGTGGAAGAATAAATGTCCAATGGATGCATAAAAATGTTTATTTAGCCATCAGGGAAATGCAAATCAAAACTGCCTTAAGATTCCATCTCACCCTAATTAGAAGAGCTGTCATCAAGGCCACCAAGGAAACAATAAATGCTGGCCAATGAGAATGGAGTAGGGACAAACATGAGAGATTCTTCTGTATTATTAATGGAAATATAAATTAGTTCAGCTCCCGTGAAGCTTGATATGAAGGTCCCTTGAACACTGGAACTGGAGCTGCCATAAGATCCAGGTGTCCCACACCTACTTACATACCTGTAACAATCAAAGTTAGCACACAACGGTCCTGCACACCCATGCACACTGCATACTATCCAGAACAGCCAAGTTATAGAGTCTGTCAGCCTAAGTGCCCATCCACAGATTGACAGATCCCAGTGTGGCAGCATGGGTCTGCAGTCTTTGCACTTGGGGAGGAGAACTGAGAGGTAGAGGACTACTTGGGCTACACTGAGATCCTGTCTCAAAACCAAACCAATGGGGGATATATAGATATGTATAGATATAGAGATATAGAGATATATAGATATATATAGATAGAGTGTGTATACACACACATACACACACACACAGAGAAAACCCAAAGCAACAACAAAAAACAGATGCGTAAATAAAGAAAATGTAGTGGACATACACAATGGAGTGGAGAGGCTGTTTTTTTTCTATGGGATTTTGTTGCCGAGTAAAGTGTCCATAATGTGAAGTGTGTTTCAGTTACTCAGTGATGCTCATACTACAAACTCTTACATCGGTTGGTTATTTTATCAATTACCAAGAGAGTAGAGTGAACACCCCCAACTACAGAGTTTTTGTCAATTGTTTTTATATTGTTTCAGTTCTGTAACTTTGGGGGTCATATATTTTTTTCTTTTTAATGTATCTGTGTGTGCATGTGTGTGTGATATGTCTGAGTATGTGTGGCAATGTGGGCCTGTGAGTGCCATGGCACACAAGTAGAAGTCAAGGAACAACTTTGGGGGTTGGTCCTCCTACTTGTTTAAGACAGGGTCGCTTTCCTGAGATTTTAATTTTTTTAATATGTGTGGGTGTTTTGCTTGCATGTATGTCTACAGACTAAGTGCATGCAATGCCCAAAGAGGGTGTCAGATCTTCTGGAAATGGAATTATAGACAGTTGTGAGCTACCATGTGGGTGCTGGGAATCATACCCAGGTCCTTTGTAAGAACAGCTTGTGCTCTTAACTTCTGAGTCATCTCTTCAGCCCCAGGCTTTCTCATTTGTAGTTGTTCAGCACGGTGTACTCCAGGCTAACTGCTTCAAGCCTCCCATCTCACAGTGGGAGGGAGCACTGAGACTGCAGATGTGTACATCTGGCTCCATGTGAGTTCCGGGGATTTGAACTCTGGTCTTCATGCTTACCTTACTCACTGAGCTGTTGCATGGCAGGGAACACATGGTTGTCAGACCAGCTCCTATCTAGGCTGTGGGGCTAGAGGCTGATACTGTCATCATATCAACAGTCAAGAAGCAGAGAAACTGAGCCAGAAACAGTGCATAGTAGCATTCAAAGTCCATTCTGCAGTGACCTTCTTCATCCAAGTAGGCTCTACCTCCTAGGGGTTCCGAAGCACCTTCCAATCAACTGTTCAAACACATGGGCCTGTGGCAGACATTTTACATCCCAACAATAACAGGAGCCATGCTATAGAATAGATCCTTTAATCTTGATCCTATTGAACTGAAATTTCAGATCCTTTTAACATCTCCCCAGCCCCCATCTTCACCTGTTAGTTCTAGTGATCAGCATTTTATTAGAGTCTCCACTTCTGTGAGTTTCTGTGATTTCTTTTTTATATAGTTGCATGTAAGTAGATAGAAATGCTACTGACTTGAGTGGAGGATTTGGCTTTGCTGTAGAACTCAAGCTTAGCATGTATGATTCTCTAGGTTTAATTCTCAGCACCAGGCCAAAAGGGAGTGAGAGAAGGAGGGAGGGAGAGAGGGAAGGAAGAGAAGAGAAGGGAAGAGAAGAGGAGAGGAGAGGAGAGGAGAGGAGAAGAGAAGAGAAGAGAAGAGAAGGGGAGAGAAAGGAACAGGCGGAAGAAGAGGGAAAGGAGCTAACTATAGTAACATTAATTTTATTTACCACTACTTTACTAAACTTGTTAGTTCTCAAAGTTGTTTTGGTAGCATACATTTGAACTGTTTGAGCACATTTATGATAATTTAAATACTTGTCTGTTAGTTTCACTGTATCAGTCATTTCTGGGTCTGTTTATATTGAAGGATTTTTCTCTTGCTTATTTTATTGTGACTAATTGTGTGTGTGTGTGTGTGTGTGTGTGTGTGTGTGTGTGTGTGTGTGTGTGTGTACCTAGTCATTGTTTACCAACTGATAGAGTTTATGAATATTTTGTTGAAAAGCAATTGGATTTTATTTTTTAACATTAAACAGGGAATAAAGAACGTTGAATAAGCAGTAGAATAACTTTAAGATCACTCTGTTCCTTCCAAGGCTTTGTCTTTGCACTTGTTAGGTGTGTCTGATAAGTGTTACTCTAGCACTAATCTATCCCTGTTAATAAAGTAAGTTTTCTGTGATCTCTACAATGTCCCAGGTGTCTGTGCTACTCTGACTAGAGACAATCAGAGCATCTCCCACCCAGGAAAACTTAGAACAGTGGTTCTCAACCTGTGGGTCTAGACCCCTTTGGCAAACCTCTATCTCCAAAAATATTTACATTAAGATTCAAAACAGTAGCAACAAAATAATTTTATGACTGGAGATAACCACAACATGAGGAACTGTATGTATTAAAGAGTCACAGCATTAGGAATGTTGAGAACCTCTGCAGTAGAGACTATAGAGCCTGCAACTTCTCTGCAGTTGTATGCCCAACCAGGTAGTTTCCTTTTATACATCTTTGAATTCCTGTTAAGTAGTAGTTACACGTGGACTTTACTCTTGTTTCTAAATTTCTTTTTTCACAGCATTCCCTCCTCTCCAGGGCTCCATCCTACACATGACCACTGCCTCTGCCTGAACAAACTCTGAACTGCCTTTTCCCCGTTTGTATTTTTCCTGCCTGCCCTGTGGTCAGCAAAAGACCCTGGGACAGATGCATCTATGGCCGTAGGACTTTCCTTATGGGTTTCTGCTCTTATCTTTTACATCTTTCTGTACTGCCTATTGGCAGATATCCAGAAAAAGATGCTTCGTATATTGTGTCCTCAATTCTACCGCTTTCCGGTGGAAAGTCAATTCCAAAATCAGTCATTCTAACATAGTGTAGTGGAGCAATGCTGCAAAGTGCTTAAAAACTGCAAAGGAAAAGTGGCCTTCAGAACAACTGGTACTCCATTGACTAAAGGAGAGAGACGACTCAGTGTCAAGAAACTGCTAATCGCCCTTCTTACCTAAGGAGGTGCATATGCTTAGAAGCTAGTTTCCAAATGAAATTCTACAGAAGTGTTTACTTTTTGAAATTAGAAAACATTTCAACTTTACATCTATACTTCTCCCACACATAAAGGTCAAATAGGCAGTTTTAGTAACATGAAAGTGTTGTTAATTGAGTCAATGATAACAATGAAGATGGTGGAAACAGCTGGGATGTTAATATTGGTTGTCAACTTGACTGGGTGTAGAACCACCTAGGAGACACACCTTTGGGTCTTCTTCAAGGGTGCTTTTAGAGAGGGTTAATTGAGGATAAAGATATACCCTGAATGTGGACAACACCATGTCGTGGGCTGGACGAGTAGATTGATTACAAAGGGGATAAAAGGACTGCGTGGCAGCAGCATTCATCTCTCTGCTCCAGATACTCAGAGGTGAGTGAGCAGCCTTCTGCCACCATGATGGACTATATCCTCAAACTGTGAGCCAAAATAAACCCTCATTCCTGCAAATCGACTCTTTTGAGACAGTCTCTAGCTCCCGCTGACTTCAAACTCCCTATGTAGCCAAAGATGACCTTGAACTTCTGGTCCTCCTGCCTCTGTCTCCCAGACAGGAGAATCTAACCCAGGATTGGGAATCTAACACAGAGCCTCCTGCATGCTGAGTAAGTGATATATCAGCTGAGCTATATCCCCAGCCATAAAGTTGTTCCATATCAGGTATTTGGTTCCAGCAATGAGAACAGGAGTGAATAAAACAAGTCTAAACATTCCCAATAGCTACCTCCCATATACTAGCCACCATCAGGGCCTTTGATTGGTTTGCTTGTCTACAGAAATTCTGCACATGGGAATCATGACAGTAGAACTCAAGGGCATAAAGTCTGTTCCTGTAGCTTCTATACTCAGTACCCAGTGCCTCCATCCCTCTGTGGTAATTTAGTGGCTGAAGCAGGATGTAATCCCTCCCCAAAGAGAACACAGCCTCCTCCTACAGCGACGATGCCACTCTCTGATTCTATCTTTACCTGAGCTTTCCCATCTGGCAAATTAAAGTGGAAAACAGCAAACTCCCTCCCTAGAGAGTTGGGTTGTTATATGCATGTTTTGTATTATTTTACTCTGAATAAGAGCATATGTAAATGTGTTGCTGGAGGTTAAAATTACCCTTATTTTGTAACACTTGGCTGCTCCCACTGGGGTGAATAGTTGAAAATTATAGGGAGGCTGGAGAGGATGCTAGCTGACTTGGAATTACTTCCCTCTTTTCTCTCCACCCACTCCATCGTTCTATGCAGACACAAGCTGCCACTGTAGAGTCCAATTGCCATCACTAAGTTCTAGTAGGTTCTTCAGTGCAGTGACCAGCATGGGTTCATCTGGTATTGGCATAGACTCCATCAGGGGTGTGTGCAGGGGCAGATGTTCTTGCTGGGAAAAACGAAAGTCTCCTGTAGCACCTGGAAGCCCCATCACACCTGGTGCCCAGCCAGATCACAAAAAGGTGTTTGGTCAACATGGGCACATTATGATCCTCAGTCATCCAGTTCATGTTTGGAGTCTGGTATGGCCCCTCAGCTTTAGCTTCCCATGGGCCCTGCTTTGTTGGGCCGTCCCTATCTTAAACTGCTTTTTTTTTTTTTCTGGCATTTGAATCATCCCTTCCATGATGTGATAATATCTGCAAGTTGGGAAAATAAAAGTGGCATTTGTTTAGCCATAATTAATGAAATATTTATGTTGCATGAGGCTATGTGATAAAATCCTTAGGCTTAGAGTCCTTTTGCTTCTGATTACATTTGGGATTTTTTTTTTCTATGACCAGACATTCTGACGCCAGCTCTTTTACACTGAGCAGATGTCGTGTAGTAAAAATGGGTGCCAGATGCTGCAAGCCGCAGAAGGGCGATTTGTTTAAGAGCTGGCTCTGAGTTTTTTTTTTTTTTTTTTTTTTTTTTTTTTTTTTTTTTGCATTCAATTACTCTGTAGAATGAACCTTACCCGATCGAGCGTTTAGGTAACTCAGCTAACTTCAGATATGCATTTTCATAATAGATTTTTGATCCAAAAGCATTGTGAGCAAGGCTCTTGCCCTGTAAAGGGTGTTTAAGGACTTCCTTGATTTCTGCATAATACCTTGTTTTGTTTTGTTTTGTTTTGAATGTGAGAAGAGAGCTGCAGAGCTCTTGGCAGGAATCCAGAAATGTAATTAACGTGGAGGGCCAACTTTTCAGTGGCCCTGAGGTACTGCTTTCCCAAGCTCCTGGCAGGTGCAGTGAGGGGTAGGCAGGAGGGAGCAAATGGGGTGAGGGAGAAGAGAGGCAGCTGTGAGGCGTGTAGCAGGAAAGGAAGCCAGCGGTTTGGTGATTTTCTTCGCTTCTTGTTTCAGGCCTTGGAGCTCTAGTGACAGAGGCCACCTCTTCTCCCTCTTCCACCACCTCCTCCTCTGCAGATGAAGACTTTGACTCCCAACTTTCCTCCAAGTTAAAGGTAACATCACTTGGAACACCATCCAATGCCTTGGCTGGCTGAGGCTCATTTCCCATCCAGGTTTCAGAGCCAATGTGAGCTCCAGCTGCCAGGATCCTCATGGGGATCAGGCCACATTGCAACTAACAACCACCCTTCTTTTTATCTGGAACACCCCAAGATTTGTCTTCTATTAAAAAAAATACAAAACAAAAAAATCTCAGAGTCTCAAATGGAGGAAGGGAAAAAGAAGACATACGGACTTGAAACCATTTGGCAAGTGCCATGCTTAAAGTGGGTTTAATATGTGGTCCAATAAGCAAACCATTGAAAAATTTCAACAAGCAGATGTGTATTTCCCCCAAGGGAAGCACAACTTCATTTAAGAAACACTAGAGGCAGATTGCATAGAAAATGTTATGCTTATTCTAATCAGAGCTATGAAATGAACCATGCAGTTGCACAGAAACACGGCTGCACCAAGGCACCTACTGTCGAAAGAACAACCTGCATGCCACTGGGAAGGCAACCATCCCCTTTGCTTAGTGGATGTTAGTGATAGAGAGCACTTTCCAAATCTCTCTCACTAATGCAGAGAAAACAGAGTGTGGCATGCCTGTAGATGTGTCTGTATGTCACATATACCAAGACAAACATTTGCCACCCAAGCCCACTACTGTTTTATTGAAGCTTGTCCCCTAGGACACAAAAGTGTGGGATGCTGGATGGTGTACCCACATGCCTCAAGGGTAGGCAGAGGAGACGTGTACTGTTCTGGTACTGTTTATAGTTTTGGAGCAGAGAAGATCTAGTAAGGGAAGAGGAGAAGCAAATTTATTCACACACACTTGACTTTTCCATATCTAGCAAGGGAAATTTTGGCTTCAGTTCAAGTCACAAAGGGGGTTTCCAACTCCCCAAGGCAAGTGAGTGCACACACACTTGTACACAAATACAGTGGAGGAGAGGGCAAGAATTTTTCTCTTTTAAATTGTGGGCTTCTTAAGTTACTTCGATCCTCATCAGAAACGAATTGTATGTAAATTGTATTACATTAGTTTCTGGGGGTTCCTTATTGCCCCCATACCCTCAAATGAGTTTAACTCTCCACTCAAATGAGACCGATCCCAGACTCCATCTTCTTAACACTCCAAGAGACAGAATAGGTTAACACTGGCATGTGGAAGTACCATAATATCTCAAATAAACCTCATGACCAGCTCCTTGTCATCTTGCTGGCCTAGTGTATGCTAGTTGTCACTTCAGAGTGCCAGGTGGTAAAGTGTACCCATGCTACCTCCTTCTAATGGGCCCTACTCCTCCAGGAAGCCTTCAAGTGGGAAGGAAGGGGTTTGGCCTCTGGGTTCTCTTGTTTCTTTGGTTGCATTAGGGTGTGTCCCCGCCCAAGGGTCACAACAGGGCCTGCTCAGATGAACCTCTGCACAGGAAGCTGGAGGCAGGATGCCTGAGGCATGGGGACGCGTGGCAGCTGACCCCTAGTCCTTCTCTCCTCCTGCACTGGCTCTTTTCTTGCTCAGTTCTTAGCGTCTGTCCTTTACTTTCTACAACATCCCTATTGCTGTGAATAAAGAGCCTGTGTGTAAGGGGACCTGAGCATTGCTAGAATATGTTTTAAATAGAAGATAACAGTATTGCCTATGGGAAAATATGCATGCTGAAGACAGCTGACCTGTGCCTTATTACTGTGTCAATTGGGGCAGGTTATCTTTCTGAATTTTGTTGTCCATATTTGTAGAGACCTACAATCTGAGAAATAAAGGAGACACCATAAAGTAATTAATTCATTGTCTGGCACATGACACCGTACACATTCTAGGATTAAAATGTGTGTTCATGTGATGGGTGCTCCTGAGATGCTTGCAAAATAAGCAAACCAGATCTCCAGGTGAGCAGAGATCCTCTCAGGGCAGGAAACACCTTTCACCCTGGTCCAGACTTTCTCTAAAGATCCCTACTGATTATTAGAGGGTCCCCGTGCTAAAGCCAGAACCCGAGTAGTCTACCTGGGGGTCATCTCCAGGAACAAAGATGGAACTTGTTGGGATGTAAAAGTCAAGAGTTTCTCCCAAAGATCTTTAGGATTCTAAAAATTCTAGAAGAACAAATTCCATCACTGAAATGGAGCACTTGGGAGGCAAAGACAGCCTCCCAAGTTCTTTGAGTTCAAAGACAGCCTGGTTCATGTATCAAGTTCCAGACCGGTCAGAGCTATACCATGAAACCCTGTCTCACAATAATGATAATGATACTACTGATGGTGATGATGATGAAGTTAAATGAAATTTTAACTTCAATTTTTTATTCACAGCTCAATTCCAGTGCCACATGTGAATAGTGGCATTCATATTTCACATGGTACAGATAGAGGCCATTGTCATCATTGTAGAAAGTTCTATTGGATGCCATTATGCTGGAAACCCAGCAGTGGCCATGCATGGAGAGGTTAGAAGTTAATGATTAGATTTTGTAAACTTTAACCTCATTTTCTTAGTCTTGGCCTTTTCTTCTCTGTTGGTTTGTGTAGAGGATGCCCAGAAGAAGAAGGAAGCTGGAGAGGAAGTTGGTTAGGCAAGAAGAATTGAAAAGACTCCATAAGGCTCAGGTAAGGAAGCAAACATGTGAAGGGTACCCCCAGGTGTGGGTGGGAAATCCTTTAGGAGTCAATCTGTACTTGGGAGATGGACCAGGGAAAGGCCTGCCTCCTTTCTCTGAGAACCAGGCTTGTGGCCATTCTGAAGGTCCTGACCCAATCCCCAGTCAGGCTCTGGGGTGAGGAGCTCAGGAGGTTCAACTATTCCCATCTCAGTCACCTTCTCAGCCTCAGGTTTGTGAACTGCAACGAGAGGCTGGCATGTGGCTTTGGGCATCATCATAAGCCCTTACTCCTGCAAAGCAGTGATCTTGGTTGTGTCCTCAGTACGGACAGAAGTCGTCCTCCAACTCCTTGACTGAATCCCTACTAAATTGCTAGCTACTGGGGTCTGACTTCATTTTAGAATCAGTTGAAAGCATAAGTACCTATCACTTCCTAACCTGATGATTTGCTCCAAGCATGTCTGCCCAAGCTGATCTGTCTCTCTCTGTCACAGATGAACAATATGAAGCAGACAACATAAACATTGTCCCTGTCCAAACCTAGTCCTGAAGAACAGCTGGGCTTTAGTATATAAGTACTTAGAACAATCATGCCTGTTAATCCATGTAGCATTCTATTACTCTCACCACTGCGTCCTTTATATGGCCATGTAGTCTTGTGCACTAGTCAACTTTCTATTACTGTAACAAAATTCCCAAGGCAACTAATTTTAAAAGAGGAAAGTTTTGTTTGGATTTATAGGTCAGTCCTTCTAGTCCATGGTCAGTTGGCACCATTGCTTTGGGCTTGTGGGGAGGCAGCATATCATGGCAGGGAGTATAGATAGAATGGAGACAACTGTTTACTTCATGGCTCCAAAAGCAGAGACAGTCAGAGAGAAGAGTTCCTCGTATCCCCTTCAAGGGCACACTCCCCATGATGTGGCTTCTTTCTGTGAGGCCCTGCCTTCTAAAGGTTTCACTGCCTGTGGTAGTGTCCTTGACTGGGACATGGGCCCTTGGAGAATAAGCACTGTGTTTACCTGCTTGGGCTTCCACAGCCACAGACTACAGCCTGGGTGGCTCAAACAACAAATATTTCTTTTCTGGAGGCTGAAAAACCAAGATCAAGGCACATCAGGCTGGGAGTCCTGCCAAGGCCTCTGTTCCTGGCTAAAAGACAGCACCGTCCTACTGCATCCTCACAGAATCTTTTTGAAGTGTGAGGAGAGGGGATGGGGAGAGGGGAGAGAAATAGCTTCCAGTAATCATACAGGTAGGAGCCCCATTAGATCAGGGCTCCACCCCTATAATCTCAATGGTCTCCTAAAACACCTTGTGTCTAATATAGTCACCCTGGGAGGTAGGGTCTCAACCTACAAATTTAGAGACAATTCATTTTATTCCAGAACAACTTCATAGCTGTAACTGCACAACAGTCAGCTATAAAGTCACTAAATGTCCACCTTCCTTAGCCATCCTGTGCCTTACCTGCAAGAAGAGATGGCTTTATCAAGACACAACCCTCTTTCAAAAGCAGCAGAGAAGAGGGCACATGAAATTGCAAGCAGTTAGCAGCAGAATCCCCGTCTAATTTTTATGTTTCCAGCTTAAATATTCACAGCTCTGACAAGAGGAGCCAGGTGGCAGCTCATGTCACCATTTGGATCTCTTGGTGCTGGGGATGCCTTGACCATTGCACCTATGATTCCAGGGGATATTTAGAAGGATGTTATGGTGAACGAGAAGTGGACAGATGCACCACTTGCCCAGGCGGTTCATGGTTTCTTTACTGTTCCTGTTCAGCTGTGTGTAAGGACTGCCCTACCTCCTGGTATCCCAGTGCTTGAAAGCAGGGAAAGTTGATGGAAATGAACAAGGCTTACAAAAAAAAATTACCTTATTCAACTTTCCTTCCTAAGAGACTCCATGAAAGTAGCAGCTAGTAAGGAAAGTAAACACGCCCACCCAAACCCAAGTATAACCTCAAACTTAGCAAGTGCTCAGGGGTCCACGGAGTGTGGGTTGTGAACCTTATGGGTTCAGCACCTGGCGCTCCACCTTCATAACTGGATGATAACAGATCCACAGGCACTTCCGGTATGGCAGCACCTTGGGCCACAACCAGGTGTAAGGCAAGGACAGGTGCCCTTTGTAGCTAAGATGGGATGAAGGATGACCCCCCCAAAAAAGAGAACCGATCCCCAGGAGCAGCTCTTTTTCAGGAGGTGTCAGCTGCTCCTTCCTGCAAAACAGAATCTGAGTGCTCCTAGCTTGTGCTGAGGAGACAGTCCTTGCCATTGAGCCCATGGTCACAGTCCAGGACTCATGAGGATCCCCTGGCCAACCCAGGAGCCTCTCCCAGGACTCCAGTGTGGTGGACCTTGCCAAAGGCCATGTCAATTACACATGTACAGATGCTGTGCTCTGTTCTCATCCTAAGGACAAAAGCAACACGGTCCAGGCCTGGGGAGCTCCACAATCTCTGCCGAGTGAATGGAAGCAATGACAATACTGGTGACAGCTAGTAGCAGGCTCAGCCCTCTCTTGTGCTCCCACATATCATGACATGCACTCTTGGTCTTGCAGGCCATCCAGAGACAGCTAGAGGAGGTGGAAGAGAGGCAGAGGACGTTGGAGATCCAGGGCGTGAAGCTGGAGAAGGTGCTAAGAGGAGAAGCAGGTACAGTTGGTGGGCCCACAGCCGTGGGTATAGGTCTGGATCTAAGAGAGTCTGAGACTGACACTGGCCTTGCATGTGGGGGAGGACAAAGAGCACTCATCCCCTTCAAGGGACAGGTCAACACAGGCATATGGTGCTTAACCTTATGCTTTTATTTTTATTTATTTATTTTTATTTTATGCATATGGATATTTTTCCTGCATGCATGTCTGTGCACCATTGAGTGTAATGTCCACAGAGGCCAGAAGAGGGCCTCAGATTCCAGGGAACTGGAATTACAGATGGTTGTTAGCTGCCACATGGGTGCTGGGAATGGAACTCTTGTTCTCTGGAAGAGCAGCAAGTGCTCTGAATGGATGAGCCAGCTCTCTGGCCCCATGCCTCACACTTTAACCATGAAGCTGCTGGTTTGATCTGAAATTCCTCTGGACATCCTCTGTAGCTTTCTCTCTGCATGAATAACCTTTAAAATTCACAAGAAAACTCCAGGAGGAATATCTGAGTGTTCAAGCGATGCTGGTTAAGAAGTAAAGCCCAGAGTTCAAATCTTGCTTTCTGGGGGTGGCTCAATGGATAAAGAGCATGCTGTGCAAGTGTGAGGACCTGAGTTCAAATCCCTAACACCATTTAAAATGTGAACACAGTATCACATGTCTATAATCCTAGTTCTGGAGGGGCTAAGGGAGGATGATGCCAAGGACAAAAAAAAAAAAAACGAGCTCTTGGTTCAGTGAAAGGTCTCATCTCAAAAAATAAACTGGAAATTGACCAAGGAAGAGGCACACCATCAACTTCTGTCTCCACATGCATGAGCACATAGGTACATAAGCACACCACACACACACACACACACACACACACACACACACACACACACTTTTCAAAAGAGCCTTGACCCAGGGCTTACAATGGAGCCGAAGCCTGAACACAATGTGCTCCTTTCTTATTAGATCACACCATGGATTTCCTTGTGCAAAGAGCCTGCAGTTACAGAAACCTGAGTCTGGTCCCCAGAACTCACCAGGTATGGTGGCTCACACTTGTTATCTCAGACCTAGGGAATTGGAGACAAAACAGATCCCCGGGGAATCCCTGACCAGCCAGCCAGGCCTAACTGACGATCTCCAGGTTCAAAAAGCAAGGTGGACAGCACCTGAGGAATGAGGTCCAAAACTGAATTCTGGCCATACACACACACACACACACACACACACACACACACACACACACACACACACACGGTATTCCCTCTCATAGGCATGAACTCTGTATTTAAATTTGTTTCTCTTCATGCAGAATGAACAGTGGAGGTATGTAACTCAGCTGGTATAGTGCTTGCCTAGTGTGGTTCATGAGGTTGGGGGTTTTACTCCTAGCACTACAAACAAAAACATATCACCTGTTTTGGCTGGACACAGTCCTGGGAAAATCACTCCCTTAACCTCTCAGATTCCTTAGCTGAAAAGTGAGCTAGTACTGGGCCATTTTAAGAATTCAGGCATCTACTACCAATGTCTCTCCTACATGGAGATAGTCCACAAACACTACCCATATTCTACAAAACATTGCAGTCCACACAGACACTTTCAAGGAAACACCCAGCTCTGCGATCTTTCTTGACAGAAACTTAAATTACAGACCCTGGATGTTTAAATCCTGCTCTGAGCATCCTCCCCAGTCCCCAACAGTGGGGAGGAAAAAGCTATTTGGAGCCAGACCTAAAGAAATGTGGTCGGCTATTGGTGTTGTCAAAGGTGAATCAGGCCAGCCCAAAGATGGATTCTCTTCATTCCCTTTCTACTCTCAGTAAACGAATTACCTGTTAGGTTTCTCAGCCTTTTCTCTTTTGATGTCCATGTGAGGCTGACAGATGGAAATCAACAAGGGGCTAGGGACAAAAAAAGAGTCAAGTCACAGAGAGTGGCCTCAGAGGGAACCAAGTGGAATCTTGGCAAACTGCGCCATCAAAATGAAGACGTGCATTTGTGCAACAGTCCTATATCTCTGTGGTTCCATAGTCTATGTAGTCCCTTGAAGAGATTGCCCTGCCGCTTAGCAAATGACCGATGCTTATTGGGTTAAGTTGTATTTGAGCTGGCCTCTGCTGCTCCCATTCAAGAGATTTAATGAGAATTATTTAATAGGTATTATTAGGATAATTAGACAATGATCACAGTTAGGCAATAATATTGAGCTATCAAGGTTGTGAATAACCAAATTTAGAGGCAGGCCTGCAAACAAGGAGTGGGCTGCGACAGTTAGGCGAGGCCCCTCTATAATGACTGGGGACAGCCTGAAAGGGTCTTTTGTGCCTGGGAGTTATTCATTAGGCCCATTGAATTAGAGGACTGTGCAGGGGTGCGGGGTAGAGGGTGCAGACCAAGGGCCTTGACGTCTGAGTGAAATGAGCTCTTCATTGTCCCGACAACAATTCTGGCTTTCTTTTAATTTTTTTCCCCAACAGTCAGAAATGAGCTCCCCCAACCCCAGCAGAGGGTCCCCCCTCCCAATTTGTTCAGGAAAAGGAAACAAAGTGAAGCAGAGAGACAACCATCAACCCCAAATGATAAACCAAGACACACAGGATATCTGTGAATGTGGTGGGTATCTTTGGCAAAGGCAGCAGAGAACCCCATGGTCCCCTGTGACTATGTCACCAATGGAGCAGGACACTCAGTGACCTGGACCCCCTGAGTCCCACCTCCTTGCATGAACAGCCAGACCTGGCACTGTCAGCTACTTAGACTTGCCTAGTTGAGACACTAGAGAATGTTAGGATTATGTCATGTTAAGTGGTAGGATCACGGTATGCCCTCGAAAGAAACTACCACTCAGCTTAAGTTGTAGGGCAGAGCCTGAACTTTCTTTCCATGTCTGGAGACAGGAGAAATCAAATGCAAAAGAAGAAAAGTTTCAAAGGATGTAGGTTTATTTTGAGGGAAGGTGGGAGAGCAAGATCCTTCCCTCACATACCCTTGCTCACTTCAGGCAGCTGCCTGTCCACATTGGGCTTCTCTCCTTTGGTGGAGCCTCACAATTTCTCCTTCACAAGGATGGCAAAGGCAATGTAGATGTTGGAGGCTACCAGCAGAGGGCAGAAGCAATACATTATGAATGTTTAATGGCCAGCCCAGCTAGGAAGAGAAGTAGTTTGACTGCTACCCTGTGGTTTTCACCTTGTCTGCTGCTGAGGAACCCAAGGAATGCTAATTTCCTCCCTCATGTGACAGTGAGGGGTTCTGGATAGAGCACAGGAATGAATCTGGTATTCTTGAATGAATCTTGACTTCACCAGCATTGTGAAGTTACTGCTCTGTCAAATTTTCCCATGTGTAAAATGGGACTGATAAACCTTCCTCTTAGGGATGGTAGAGACAGATGAAAGAGGAAATGATAAGGCAGGGTAGGGGGATGGATCAGTTCCACGCAAACCTGAGGAACCAAGTTCAATCCCCATACCTGTGATAGAAAGCTTAGTATGGCATCCCAATCCCAATGCTGGGGAGGTGGAGGCAAGAGAATCCTGGGGCTTACTGATCAGTCAGTTCAGCCAGATCATTGAGTCCCAAGTCCCAGTGAAAGACCCTGTTTTTAAAGGAAGGTGGGAGAGAGGTTGAGGAAGATGCTTTATGTCAACCTCTGGCCTTCACAAATGCACAGAGCAGGAGAGACAGAGAGGAAGAGACACACAGAGAGAATAAATGAGATCATTTTAGTAAAGTACTTGATAAATGGGGCTGTGTCACATCTTAGGACGTCAAAGGGATGGATTCTTGTCTTTCCTTTTAAGCCCCCCCTTATAAAACCCAGCAAGGGGGCTGATTTTCCCTTATCTCAGCTCATTTGTTTATCCATTCCTTCAATTCTAACTCTCTTCTCTAGACAGAAGTTAAGCTTTCCACAGACATGTATATTACATGAGTTTCACATGCTTGCCCATACAGGCTCATGCCTGTAATCCTCTCAGCAGGCTGAGGCAAGAGGATGAGAAGTTCAAGGCCAGCCTGAGCTACATGTTGAGCCTGTCTCACAGAGAAGGAGGAAGAGAAGGAGGAAAAAAAAAGAGGAGGAACATAATTTCAATGTAGATTGTGAAAATTTGTATTTCATTGACATATAAATATCATGTGTATGCCTGGGGGCACATGTCATGGCACACAGAGGGCAACTTGCAGGAGTTGGTTCTCTTCTTCCACCATATCTATTCTTAGGACCAAACTGTTGTCAGGCTTGGGGCAAGGGCTGTATCACCAGTTAGCCAGTTTTTTGGTTTTTGTTTGTTTGTTTGTTTGTTTGGGGTGTGTGTGGGGGGTGTGGGGGGGGTGTGGTGTGTTGCTGGGTACCAAACTGCTAGTGCTCTTACCCACTGAGTCAACTCTGCAGTCCCCAGTGTATATTCTCACTGTCACTCTCAGCACAACAGCAACTAAGTGAAAACAGTTCAAAGAAGAAGACAAAGCCTGTGGCAGGGAGGAGTGCCTGTTTGACTGTCGGCCATTGTTTCAGGATGAACTCTGGGGATTGGATGGCCTTAACATGATCTCTATAACTTTCTTTTCTGAATGGAAAAGCAGTGAGTTGAGGTTAGCCCCTTGGCTGCCAATCCATGTGGCTGGTTTCTGTGCTTCCACACACAGCAGGGCAGGGGAGGAAGGAGATCTCTCCATGATTGTCTAGTACAGGTGAACTATAAAAATGGAGCCAAAGGTAATGTTAACCCTGTATTTAAATATGATGTCAGAAAAGAACTGGACTCCTACAGAGCTCTCCAGGAGTTACTCAGGTCTGAGGTTACTGAAGCAAGGAGTTTGCCTCATTTCCCCCAAATGTGTAGAAGCCATTGCTGAAGTTCAATGTTTCCAAGGATGGGGCTTGTGATTCATTGCACAGCAAACAGAAGGAGCAGCAGCATGGTGGTACAAGAGATCTGTCCCCAAGTCCCAGGGTATGACACAATAGGTTCAGATTAGCACATCAAAGCTAGTGCTACAGCTAGGGAG